TTTTATATTATAAACACTATTAGTACAATAATATTTACAGATCGGTGACAGGAGCAGAAATCTGAGAAAATTCAAATTACTGACAGAAATGCTAAAACTTAACATTAATATGTCTTGTTTAAGAGAGAAATACTTTATTAAAAGTAATGCTGCCCTACTACATAGGGTTGCTTCGTACACAGCATACCTATCAATCCACAAGGACATTAATTTTATATTTTATTTTTCTATTTTTTATACATATATATGTCATATATTTCCTTTCTTTCTCTCTTTTTCCTCTTTCCCCTCATAACAATACACTTACAAGTTATCAACAATAAAACCATATTAGATAATATACATACATTAAACAATATAAACATTTTTCCAAGACAAAAAAAAAAAAAGAATTCAAAATAAATAGTCAACACACCCCTATATTCTCAATTCTCAATTTTTGACACAAAAAATAGGTGGCGGTTCTGGATCCGAAAATGTTTTTTGCTCCTGAGTTTTATTTGACGAAATATTGGTAGTAACAGAATTACTGACTGAGGTGGATGGTGGAAATCTAATTTGTTGGCTGCAGTGGTTTTGTGTAGATTTGTTATTTTCAGATATTTTTTTTGATTTGGTAGATTTATTTTTTGCTTACTCACTACCGACGGTAGGGAAGCATTGTGTTCGTGCGAGAGATTAAAAAAATTTTTGTGCTCAGAATCCAAAATTTTCACTCGCGTTTTACGTTTCAGACATCAAGGATCAAATTTGGTTCGGTGTCTGTCTGTCTGTCTGTAGTAAAATCGATGTGACGGGCATATCACCTACTACCATTAATCCGATTTTCATGAAATTTTCAGGGATTATGCGGATTGGTACCTACATGGTCATATATCAATTTTATCGAATTCCATCAAGAACTTCCGCTTACGCACGCGCGTAACTCAAGAAGTATACACTTTTTTGTGAATACTGTATATGGTTTTTTAAAATTTTATGGAATTTTCTAAAAAAAAAAAAAATCGTTAAAATCGGACAATCATGAGCAAAGATATGGTCTCTAGTTTTATGTTATATGTTCTACTGCAAAGGTTATATATATATTTTTTGTTTTGATTTTTAAATTTTAATTGTGTTACTGAAGTAATGCTATTTTTTTTAGCATATTACTAATGATTAAAAAAAAAGTTTAGAACAATAATTGGAATCACCTTTTATTTATTTTTATTTATAACTAGGAAGGTAATGTTGCTTTAGATGTATAATTTTTTGGAAACAATAAACCATTGTGAAATAATTTGCTGCTTTTTTTTTAAAAATAATTATCGTTACATGTATATAAAAAAAAAAAGAAAATAGGACTGAAGCCCCCTCCAAAATTAAATCTGGATCCGGTAGTGTATATCACTACTATTAATGCAAAAGGTCATATGTAAAAATTTTCAACTTTTATTCTATTTGTATTAAAGATAACATTTTGTAGTCTGCAACTGATACAATTAGTCTGCTATTATGGAAAATAGCAGATGACAATAAAACATGAAATTATTCTAATAAAGTATAATGAAATGAATTTTTATGCACTCTTGTAAAACAATAAATTTTTACATAAGACCTTTTGCACTAACAGTATTGAAATTTATGTCCATTATGCTTTTTTTTTATTTTTTTCATTAAGGATAATCAAGTATAGAATCTTCAAATAGGGCACTCTTTTGTTGAATGTTGAAGGGTAACTGTATTTCTTAATCGACTTCTCCCTAAGATTTTATTCTCATACGAAAAATTGTATATCTTATAATATACAATGAAAACGTCTTTTTATCGAATTACTAATATCCGCTTGAAACTTCGTAAATAGTTTCATCTCATTGTAATATAGAACTATTTTATTTACGAAAACTCCTGGAATTGGGGCGTTTCCAATCTGGAGGGGGGCAAACTTTCTCCATTTAATTAGGTACTAAAAACTCATAGTAAATATTCATTTGCTTTCAACTTGGATTGTAAGATAATTTGATCACAAAATCAAGATAAAAAGGTGGTATTTAAAAATATTGAGCAGTTTGGCGTGACCTACAGCCCCAAATTTTCAAAATAATAGGCTAAACGGCCCAATATATTTGTAGGTCACCTTTTTATCGATTTCGTGATCTAATTATCTTACGATCCAAGTATAAAGCAAATGGGTATTTACTAGTTTTTAGTACCTAATTAAATCGACAAAGTTTGCCTCCCTACAAAAATTGTAAACGCCTCAATTCCAAGAGTTTTCGTAAATAAAATAGTTGTAGGATACGATGATATGGAACTATTTATGAAGTTTCAGGCGGATGTTAATAATTCGATAAAAAGGGGTCTGTACCACGGACTAAAATGACGTATAGCGTTGCTTAACCATTTTGGACAGTACAGATAGATTGATGATTTAGCGAGAGAGAACGGTTAATCAGAGTGTATAAAAAAAAAAAAAAAAACTGAAACGTGTACCTGTTTAGACCACACTTTAGAAGTGAAAACATTAAAAAGGCGAGATAAATGGTATGAAATATAAATTATAAATAAAGGTCGAATGTTGAAAACGATATCCATACTTCAACATTTTTTTTGCTGATTTTTTTAAGATACATCATAGTCAGAGATCATCAGAGGATGATCCTAGGAACTGGACATTATTATCCGCCATTTCGTTTCAAAATGGAGAACACGTGTTTCTATAGATCGTAGCGCCAAAGCAGTAGGAACTATTATAATGAAAAAAGCCTTCTCTTTTAAATAATGTGCATAACATATTTTACTCAACTGCGGAAAATGATTAAGCATCTTTTAAAACTGTGTGGAGAAATTGGCCTTTACCCCAACTAGCAGAAGACTAAATTAATGACAAATAGAAGAAAAGAAAAATGCAAGGTAAAGAGTTAAGTATACCAAAACTAATGGACTGTATCTTTTTTAATAATAATAATAATAATAGGTAATCTTTCTAATCATCATGGGTACAATCAAAGAAAAAAATGCATACTATAGTTATTCGTGAATAAAGTTTCTTTTCCTTTATCACTTTTTCTCTAGAACTTTCGGAAGGGTAGGAATATTTTTCGCATGTGAAGGAGAAGAATATCTTCAAAACGAGTGGTCAATCATTGGAGGATTTGATGAAGAATTGACGAAGTTATGGCGTACTGACAAAAAAAACACCTTTTAGAAATAACATATAGGATTTTTGCATAAATAAAGACTGTATCATTTCATTTCATTTCATCACTTAAAAGAACCTACGATGAATAAAGAATTTTCTTTATGAACACACTGTTATGTGTTACCTTTTTAAAAGATAACGAAGTTCACTGACAAAAATACAACATCGAAATATTTGCAGCTTTGGTTTTAGATTACTTGAAAACTTTACATCTTTGGAAACAGTACAAATCGTCTTTTGGAGAATAATTTGATTATATTAAATTGCAATTGTAAATCATTGTGTAATTTAGACTTTAAGATACTACTTAGTACTGCAGCACTTACTAGACAAACGCTTTAAGCTTTCAATCAATTACAAACGACTCATATATATGACAATAATAAGACCTATTTGGACTTACGGAGTTGAGCTTTGGGGCTCCATTAAAACATCGAATTCCTCTCGTATCCAATCCTTACAATCAAAAATCCTTCGTAAAATCCTCAACGCTCCCTAGTTTGTCACAAATAAAATCATCCATAAAGACCTTAATGTTCCATATGTTTCCGATTTGGCCTAATCCAGACACCTATCCTTCCATAACAAACTGCAGAACCATCCGAATCCTCTATTTTCAAACCTTGCTTCCTCCTCGATCCCTGATAACCCTCAGAGGCTTCTGAAAAGAAGATGGCCTCGGGACCTTCTAATATAGAACTTTAATTTGAGTTCTACCAATGGGTAGTTTCTCTTCTTGTTGTACATGTCATGTTACCAATGTCACATTTACTTGTTGTATTTCTCATGTAATACAGTTGTAAATTTCATTTAAAAAAAAGAAAAAAAAGATTCTACTTTGAGGCGCGCGAAAATTAGGTTTATCAATAGTTTATGAAATATAATAATAATAATAATAATAAAAGGCTTAGCGAACCCGAAGGTTCGATGCCGACACCACCAATCGCTTATTACACACCTCCCTCCACCGTTCGCCGTCCAAACCCAGTCCCTTCAGATCGGCTTTAACGCAATCTTCCCACCTACGCTTCGGTCTAACCCTCGGACGCTTACCATTCGGCACAACAAATATTAACCTTTTAGGAATTCTCTCGTTACCAAGCCCAACAATTTTACAAGCCCATTTGATTCGTCGAGATCAAATTACCTCAACTATATTACCCGGATACAGCTCACGCAATTCGGCGTTGTGTAACCGTCTGAACTCTCCAGTTAACTCATCCTTCTTCGGTCCAAATATTCTACGCAATAATTTATTTTCAAAAACCTTAAGACGCTGCTCATCCCCTTATGTAAGCGGCCAAGTTTCGCATCCATAAAGAAATGTAGGCAAGATAATGGTTTTATAGATTCTAATTTTTAAGTTCCGGAACAAGAGGCGCGAACTAAATAGTTTGGTCACAGAAAAATAACAAGCATTTCCCGTCTTCAGTCTAATCTTAATCTCTTCTTCAATTTCGTTTTTTCTAGTTATCGTAGAACCTAGATACCTAAATTTATCTACCTGTTCAAACATATTACCATCTATATCGATATCACCAGTAGTATCGCCATTTTTGCAGCTAACCATATATTTTGTTTTATCCACGTTTATTTCGAGTCCTAGTTCCTTACCGGCTTTCATTAACGTTGTCGTATTTAGTTTTATAGTTTCAACGTCTTCGCTTAACAGTACCAGATCATCAGCATAGCCCAGCACGGATGTTGTCCCGCCCAGATCCAACCCTTTCTCGGTACGCATTACCGCATTACATATGACATATTATAAGCTAGATAAAATTAAAATATATATAGATATATACGTACCTTATGAGGTTTTCTACTATTGATATCATCAGTGTTCATCGCAACGTAAAATGACCAAATAAGTTGGGTAATTATAGTTGTGCTTCGTGCATTAAAGAAATAACAATTCCATAACTCGCATAACCTTTATTGGATCTTTTCTTTTTCTGCTTTTTTGTTTTGTTCTTTCAGGAACGAAGGGAGCCAAAAGCAAGCGTTGACAAGTCGAAGGAAAACCCAGACTGTGAAAGCGAGCATCAAGTAAGTTACGGCGGTGCTTAACATCCGGCTTATGTCAACAGAGACTTGTTGATACTTCATTTCTGGCACGGGCAGGAATAGTTCCTGAAACAGAGGTACGCATTGATTAATGAAAGAAAAAACTAAAGAAGAAAACAAATACAAGGGACAAAAATTAGTATATTATTGGAATATTTCAAAACAATATATAGTCCAGTAAAATTAGGAATAGACTCCAACATTGAAAAAATTTTTTTTTTTAATTCCTTTATTGAGTATTATAACAATCTGTCTGTTCGACATTGGTTATAGTGAGGTAGGATGACATTCACACCATATGTACAAAAAAATAAAATAAATAGAACAAAATAATAATCAAAAGTATATACAATAGACAATAAAATAAAATAACCTAAAAAATAAGAAAATTAAAAATAAGTAAAAAAAAAAAAAAATAACATGCATACCTATATACAATCAGGCGAGGGAACTCCAGGAGAACCCTGCGCTACTCTTCCAACCGCGTCACTGGTACTAAAGCCAGCGGAGATTGGTCGAGAGCACTTTAGCCACATACACACATGTCTTGAGTGAAGAATCTGGCCATTGCCAGAACTCCAATTTATATAATTTACAAAAGGTCGCGAGGCCACTGCCGTTTCAACCTTCTTGGAGGATTATAGGGATGGGAGATGCTTGATAGGGATTGTGCAAGAGGATTTGGGTGGTAAGTAAGGTTCTGGTGAAATTTGGAGAACTTTTCTGGGATAAGGTCTAGGACAAATGGGATGTTAAGGTCATGATGTAGGGTTTTGTTGGATACATAGAAAGGAGCATCGACTATTGTTCGAAGGACTTTAGACTGGAAGGATTGGATGCGCTTGATGTTAGAAAATTTTGCTGATCCCCACAGTTCTAGTCCGTAAGTCCAAATAGGTTTCAGTATTGTCTTGTAGATCAGTAGCTTGTTTTCAATGGAAAGTTTAGATTTTCTGCTTAGTAGTCGGTATAGTTGGCCGTATCGTCGGTTGAGTTCTTGTCTTTTGAGTCTAGTATGCGGGTTCCAAGTTAGTCTTCGGTCTAAATGAAAGCCAAGATACCGGACTGTGTCTGAATAAGGAAGCTGGATGGAATTAAAGAGTACTGGTGGACAGGAATTGCGTCGGAGTGTAAAAGTAATGTGTTGGCATTTAGATTCATTAACTTTAATGCGCCAGTTATTACACCAGTGCTCAATCAAGGTGAGATGACTTTGGAGATTTAAGGATGCTATTTCGGGATCAGAGTTGGATGATAAGATTGCGGTGTCGTCAGCGAATGTTGCAAGAAAAGTATCGGGATGAACAGGGATGTCAGCAGTAAAGAGGATGTAAAGCACGGGACCCAAGACGCTGCCTTGGGGAACACCGGCTTTAACGGAGTAGATATTGGAAAATTCTGTTCCACAGCGAACTCGAAAGGAGCGGTCAGAGAGGTAGGATCGGAGGACTAGGTACAAGGACTGAGGTAAATGGATTTTAAGCTTGGAGAGCAGTCCGGAGTGCCATACCCGGTCAAATGCCTGTGCAATGTCCAGAAAGGCACCCGAACAGTATTCCTTGTTTTCTAGGGCTGAGGAAATATGATCAACGACTCGGAGTCCTTGTTGAACAGTAGAATGTTGAGAGCGAAAACCAAACTGATGGGAAGGGATATTTTGGGATTCTATAATGGGTAGGATTCGTTTCAAAAGGATCTTTTCAAAAATTTTTGAAAGGATTGGGAGTAGGCTGATTGGTCTATAGGATGTTGAGCTATTGAGAGGTTTTCCTGGTTTTGGGAAAAGGATAATAGTGGAGTGTTTCCATAACAGAGGGAAGTGGGTGGTGCGTAGGATACAATTGTAGATATATGTAAGGAATATGACTGCTTTGGATGGAAGTTGTCGAAGGATTTGAGGTGTAAGGAGATCATGTCCAGGAGCTTTACGGAGGATTAGTTTTTTTAATTGAAATTTTACTTCGGAAGGATGAATAGCTTTTGGGGGCAAGGAAAGTGGGATTGGTGATGTAAGGAGTTCTTCTACTGTTACGGTGTGGGCAGGATGGGATTCCGGATGTGAAATAAATGTATTGGATAGGTGAATGGCGAACTCCTCAGCTTTATCTTCGTCAGATGCTGCCCAGGAGCCATCACCTCGTCGGAGAGGATGGGAAATGCGGTGAGGATTTAGGATTTTTGTTGTGGTTTTCCAAAGGGAATTGTCGCGAGAAGAGAGGGAGGATAGGTAGGAGTTGAAGGATTGTGATCTGAAGGTGGCTAATTCCAGTTTTAATTGTTTGCAGTAGTAATTATAGGAGCAGCGGTCGGTAGGATGTCGGGATCGTTGCCATAATAATCTGGCACGGCGTTTGGTGCGGATTAGGTTAAGGAGGTGTTGGGGTAGAATGGTCTTTATAGGAATTCTGGAGGAGTCTTTTGGAAAGGAGGCAGTCCAGGCGGCTTGTTGGATTGTGGTAGTAAAGGAATTTACGGCACTATCAAGGTCATCGGGAGTTTTGAGGGATATGTTGAGATCAATATTATCGGAGATTATTTGGCGGAAAAGGTCCCAGTTTACTGGGCCCCTAATGAATGACGGTGGAGAAGGTTTGGGAACAGGTTCAAGTGAAACATTAAGGATTAGAGGACTATGGTCAGAGGAAAGTTCATTTAGACGTGTAATGGAACAATTGAGGGGACTTAAGCCGCTGTGGATAAAGAAATCTAGAAGATCAGGATTACGGTTGGGATCTGTGGGCCAGTAGGTAGGAGAGTTGGGGGAAAGGAGGTGAAAACGTTGGGAATTGAGTGCAGACAGCAGGGTTCGGCCACGAGAATTCGTGGTTCTGGAACCCCATTGTTGGTGCTTGGCATTTAGGTCTGCACCCAAGATGAAGTGATGTCCTAAGGAGTCGAGGAGAGAACTGAATTGGGCATTGGATATGGATCGGTTAGGAGGGCAATACGCTGATGCAAGAGTGACCGGAAAGGAGAAGGTTTTTATCACGATAGCGGTGGACTGTAGGAAATCATGTATTGGTAATGGGAGTAGGTGATGGGAGAGGGATTGGTGTACAATTACAGCAGTACCGGCATGTGCTTTTCCGTCAGGGTGGTCAGTACGATATGTCAGGTATTGTGGTATATTGAAGTGCTGTTTAGTGGTTAGTCGAGTTTCAGTAATTAGTGCCACATCAATGTTCTTGTCAAGTAGTAAAGTAGATAGTTCGTCTGTATGATTTCTAACACCATTCGCATTCCAAAGGAGAATGGATATGGGTTTAGGGATGTGAGTCATTTAAGGATTTTTCAAAGGAGGGATGAGGTGAGATACGAGATTCGTGAGGAGTGATATGAGTGGAGTAACAAGGGATTTGAAATCGGTGAGGAAAGATGCTAACAAACTTGTGAGATCTGTTGCATTTGAAGGAGGAGGAATATGAGGAATTTGTTGTTGGTGGTTAGGTATATTAGGATGAAGAGGATTTTGAGGTTGGGTTTGAGGTTGTTGTTGTGGCAGGGCTTGACATTTATCGGTTAAAGTCTTACCTCTAAGTAGTTGGGAGAATGATACATCATTGTTTACAATTCTGGAAGGCTCTCTCTCTCTTCTTGTTCTTAGTGCTTCATCTTGAATCCGGTTTTTCTGGTGTCTGGTTTTGAGATTCTTGTAAATTTGGCAGCCTTTGTAGTTGGCCGGGTGTCCCTCCAAGCATAGGGCACATACTGCTGGATCTTGTATAGGTTTGGTGCACTCTACAGATTTGTGCTGTTCACCGCACTTCACGCAACGCGGCAGATGGTGGCAATATGTCTTCGTGTGGCCATAGGTCTGACAATTATGGCACTGCACGATGTCTCTCTTGGGATATGGCTTCTCAACTTTCACCATTGTATAGTATATTCTTGTGATATCATATATTTTTTCGATACCTGGTGATGGCTCCAAGTCCACGAAAAACAATGGTAGTGGGATCCTATTTCGTAATCCTGGCTGTTCCCTGTCCTCCTTCAAAACGTTTGTTACCTGGCGTACATTGAAACCAAGCGTCGTTAGTTCTTCTTTAATAACTTCAGTGGGGGTTGAGGAATGTAAATTTCTTATCACCACTCGTAAAGCTCTTTCCTGCCTCAGCTGGTAAGTGTGAAAATTCGCATTTGTTTCTGATAAGTACTTCACTATTTTTCGGTAGGCTTCTGCAGAATCAGGTGTTATCTTGGTGTCATTGGTCCTGTTAAGGCATGAATAACTGCCAGAGCAGATTTTATTTAGTTGGGTGCAGAACATCTGGAAATTTTTTATATTTTTCACAAATATCGGAGGAGGCTTTGGTTCTCTGGGTATTGCTGCAGACTCCATTACTTCTTTGTCATTTTGAAGCACTTGGTAGGGGTTTGGAGTAAAGAAAGGTGATTCTTCAATCGTTTCTTGTGCAGACGTACCTGGTTGGGGCTGAGGTTCTGGTTCTGAAGTGTTCATTTTGGTCACTGGAGGTATTTCTCGTAGGCAGCGACGAGTCCTTTGTTTGGCTGGTGAGCTAACTCCGTCTGACCGAGACCTCTTGGGCACCTTACTGGCCATCACTTGCTGATCATACCGCATATCATAAGAGAAAAATAAATAAATAAATAAAAAAAAAGAAAAAAAAAAAATTTTTTTTTTTTTTTTTTTTTTTTTCCCTTAAAATAACAAAAAAAAAAGATGCCAACAGTAAATATCAACTGCTCTGATATACACTTTAACTGTATCACGTGAATAATCAGAGAGATTCCGCTATAAAATTGGTAAAAACTGAGAGAGGAGTTGAGGAGACAACCTTCTCATCAGCTGATCCACTGCCTTATCCTGAAAAAAATAAAGATAAAATTTGTCAGAAATTGTTCATTACACTCTCTATAATATCTGGTAAAAAGTCCCAAAGAAGAAGAATTAAAACCTTAATAAGAGAGAGGGAGAGGACAGAAAACTGATATTTTATTAGTTTTTTGAGAATATCTAAAAAATAGTGAGGTTTTTCGCAAAGATAAGTAAGTAGATAAGCAAAGATAAGTATAATATTAAAGTACTTTAAAATCTCTATCAAAATGATCCTGT